GTTTTCCTGTTTCCAATGTAAAATAGTTAAACATTTTTACAAACAAATGTAAATGTACAAATTAAGATTGTCACAAGGTTTAAGGTCCCATTTGCACAGTGAAACCAAAGATCCCCGAGCACCTGGATGATTACAGCTACAGGTTTCCAATAGTAGCGCAGATCCAACTACCATTTCATTTATTTATTTTTATGCTCTTCTGTTACCTTTTAAGTTTTAAAACTGTCATCTTCTGGCATTGAATTAAATAACATTCACCACCATATCAGTGCCTAATAAACTTTTTGCAACCTACACTGATGTTATTCTCTGTCATCTGTTCTTTGACCATGTGTTGCACTGTACCTGGATGATACACAATGATGATCACTGATAAAAATGCATGGTCTATTTTGATGCAAAACAAACACTCATGCAACATTTTTTATAGGCTAAGTCATAAAGTTTAATAAACATATATACTCTTAATTAGGCTTTTTTTATATATATATATATATATATATACATAAACTGTTCCCTCCTGGTGGAATGACCTGCCCAACTCAATTTGAGCAGCTGAGTCCTTAGCCATCTTCAAGAAACAGCTAAAAACACATCTCTTCCATCTATATTTGACCCTCTAACTCTAGCACTCTCTACTGTAATTCTATTTTATCTATTTGTTGACTTGACCCTCTAACACTTGCACTCTCTATTCGTTTTCCAACTGCTTGTTTTCTTAAAAAAAGGCCTCTAACACTAGATTTCTCTATTCTATCTACTTGTTTTCTTTTTGTTATGTGTATGTATGTGTAAAGTGTCTGCTAAATGACTACATAAATAAATAAATAAAAAGGGCCTCTAAATATAAAAAATAAAGTGGAATAAAGATTGGATTGTGCCCTTGATTAGCTTGTGATGAGCTGTTGGTAAAATTTGTGTTGGTGTGGATGTTGATGTTATGTGAGACAGTGACATTTTGTTTTTAAAAATATGAATTCAATAGAGATTCACACTCAAAATCCAGGAAAATATTAGTCATGGAGAATGGCATTAATAATGTAAGGTTTTCCTGAATTTTGAGCATGAATCACTATTGAATCCTTGTTACGAACTAAAAAGATTTATGCACCAAAACAAGACAACATAGGTGACAAGAGAGTGCGATGTTAACGTCCTTGTAGAATCTGCTGTATAAAAATAACATAATAAAGCAAAAAAAAAAAAGACAAGAAAACCAAAAATCTCGTAACACCGGACACAAAAACACGAAGGAGACTCCCATCCACCATCATTCAAGGTGATTTAATACAGTGTTTATTCAAAGTACCTGCATCCTGGAGAACAATCTTCATCTGTGGATGTTTGTGTGTCATCCATGATGAAGCAGAATCTGATCTCCAGCACTGACTCTGAATAGAAATGACAAACAAACTCAATAATTCAGCTGAACGGATCCTGAGAGAAACAGATCATGAGACGCGGCGTTCACTCAGATACACAATGTTAGTCGTGTGTTAACAAATGATCAAATAAACCACAGACAACACCAAACACCAATCAAACCACGTGCATCTGCTTGCAAAAGAAAATATGAAACATATAAAACTAAACGTCCTTTAGAGGAAATATGAATGCAGAAGTCACTGTAAAGCACCTGAGCATCAGCACTCACTTTATTTACACAGATTCACAAAATCCACCGCCTTTCTATGAAGCAGCTACACGTTAATCATGGCTTAGCTTTTATAAAGGTTACTGTGAAACACTTTAATATTCCGTATAGAAGCAATTCTGGAGAATCGAAATTTAAATGGAGAAACATGAACTCTGAACATTTGCTTTCACTCTTTATTTGACGGCAAAAAACAATGATGACGCAGACACTCCACGCAGCTATAATGCTTAAGGGAGCGTCTTTAAACTCCAGACACAGCGGGAAAAACGTTTGCGATCTCAAATCATTCGTTCAAATAATGTACATGTTTTAGCATACAAAATCATTTTTTAAAAATCTAGCATTTGTACAAAAAAAAAAAGAAGCAGTGTATAAATCAAGAGGCAACCTCCCCGTCTCGCTCTTGAAACCTACACGGAAGTGACTTAAACTACTGGCTGCTAGAGACCGGCTCCAAAAGGGAGTCAGGCCCATAGACTAGGGTGACCATATTTTAGTTTAATGTTCGAGGGTCCATTTAAAAAAAATACAAAATAAAAAACAAGCAGATAAAATTAGAAGTAGCATTATAATAGAGTGTGCTAGAGTTAGAGGGTCAAATGAAGATGTAAGAGATGTGTTTTCAGCAGTTTCTTGAAAATGATTAAGGTCTCAGCTGCTTGGATTGAGTTGGGAAGGTCATTCCACCAGGAGGGAACAGTTAATGTAAAAGTCCATGAAAGTTTTATAATAGGTAGAATGCAAAATGTTTCAATACAAGCATTTCAGTCAAATATAATTTATACAATATTTCCAACCTTTAACCCACTTGGAAAAATCACCACATGGCAACAGTTTAAAAGTAGCCCAATTCTGTGGAAAAAGAATTGGGCTACCTGGATTTGGGCGTCTATGAGGACTTGGCAACCCTGCATCCAACAAGAGCTGCAGGAGTCTGATTTGACTGATCACAGGTCGAGAATAAGGAGAGATGACTGACAAGACCATGCTGGAGTATTTGCTGCTCAACAGATCCTGAACTCATTGACAAATATCTGATCTTGTAAGATGTGCTCTCTTTACACAGAGTAATCTTGTAAAATCAGAGTAAAGTTGTGATCGCGAAATCAAAAGTGAAAAGAGCGAACGCTCATTCAAAAGTGATTTAAATACTGAGAGCGGCTCCCTGATGCGGAAAAATGATATACAATATTAGAATGTTTAAAAGAGTGAACACGAAAATCGCGGGAGTGAAACGTATGTTGCGGGAGCAGGCGGCAATGGTCAGAGATTCAGCGGGAGCTAGATTAAGAAAACAGCCAAATCCCGGACATTTTGGGCGATTAAGAAATCCCGGCTGGACGCATTTTTAGGTGCAAAAAGAGGACATGTCCGGGGAAAAGAGGACGTATGGTCACCCTACCATAGACCTCCCATGTTAAAATACCCTCTTGAACTTTACAGCAGAAAAACATTTGTTTACAGCCTGGTACAAAAAGTGGTTTTGGTCTATATAGGTAATTTTGCCCTTCATGACAACTGTGAGGGGGGTGAATTTTTTTATAACTCATCCGTTTAAATTTTGGGTGCTGATCACCATTTACAGATTATAGCAACATCTGTATAAAATCTAATGATCATTGGCTAGGCTATAACAGAGTAATGTGATAAAAAAAAAATTCTGACTGTAACAACCAGACAAAAAGTTAAACGTGAGTGGATACCGTTTTGCAACCAATTTATTTGCAATGTTTGCTAACATTAAATGA